TGAAGAATCTATACCCGAAGTAAGGGACCTGGTTTCCTATATTACATGCCTCTGCTTAATTTAGGTACCAGTCTCTTACAACCGTAATGTAATATCTCTGAATGTGTATGTTGTAATTTGATTCTAGTGTAATCATTATGTTTGTGGACAAAATCAATTATTTTTATTAAGTACTTATACATAATTAGTTTCATGTACTTCGTATAACTTTTATGACTTGACTAGTGGCTTTATTATACCAAGGATATGATATACTTATTGGATTGGTTTATAACAAAAAATACTCGAGTTACTGCGTTCCCAAATAACCGATGCTTTCTATAAAATAAAATCTTGTCCCTAGAGTCACCCAACCTGTGGCAATCAATTAGGCCATCAGATAACCCGGAAGGGCGTCCAACCGACATGATATCGGCCCAACCAACTGGGATCGGGTTTAGAGGAATTGAACTATGTGTATGGTGAAGGTGTAGGCTAAAATAATCTATTGGCATTCGAATAACATTGAATTGGATTGTAGTTTTGGGGTCAAGAAAGGGTTCTTGTTATAACAAGATAAATTCTATTGAAGGGTTTGATGATTGAATAAACTGATCCAATCGTTTTGTCAAAATACTATATTTCATTACTTCCTAAATATTGAGTGGTATTTATTAGTAATAGGTTGGTAAAAGGTTTGCCCAAAATTCACAGAATTGCGAGTATGGGGCCGCCCAGAATACCACCAAGCACTGGAAGGCGTTAATGAAAAACTTTTCACGGTGTTTAAAGAGATTGCAAATTTCTGGCGCGTGTCTCTGCCTCTAAAACGTCTTGATATTGTTGCATTGCCCAACTACCAGGGGGTTAAGCCAGCAGACAACTGGGGACTCATCGTGTTCAAGTAAGAAATATTTCTTAATGATAATACTAAAATTCTTCTGGGCCGTGTAACGACTCCCAGGCGTAATATTTGTCCAACGTTGAAGAACATTTGTTATCAAAAATATTGTCTTATTTTTGCTACGAAAAGTTCGATGTCTTGAGCGTTTTTTTTTGTTACAACTCCTTATCGATCGGAATAGTTAACAGTTTCCATTTGGACGTCGGATTTTGATCGTCTTTAACTATAAAATTGTAAAACAATAAACCTTTACTAAGTCAGTGTTATTTAATCGACAATAATAGGTAGAGTTAAAGGGGCGAATGGTTCAAGGTAGCGATAAGACCGGTGACGCTAGATTAACGCGTTGCCCGAAAGAAATGTCAATTTAACATGCCGCTGGTACTTAAATAAGAAATGCGACGCAAATCTTAGGAATGTGATTTTGTAAGAAATTCGTAATAATATTTAGTACATATTTGTAAGTCATAGCAATTTATTGCAGAATTTAATATGTAATAGGTGGTTATACGTCACATCACATCACAACTTGGTGTTTCTCATCATGCTTTTTCTTCAGGGAGAGTGACCTAGCCAGTAAAGGCTATTTACAATTGGCACAGGAACTATCGTATCAATGGCTGGGAGCCTTCACGACACCTGCTTGGTGGTCTGACGCTCATTTGAATAAGGCTCTTGTCGGATATCTAGCTGCTGAAACTGCTTTTAAGGTACATCTTTCTCAGAAGGTTTCTAGTGAATGATACCACAAAAAAGAATTTTGTTTAAAAAATGTCATCTTACAGATAAACAATGGTTCTGAAATGGAAGGCAAATGGCCAATGACAGTGTTGTATTCATTGTATTATGAGTTTAGTAAGCGCTACCCTCATTCTCGCATAACGGGCATGAAACAGGAGACTGCAAGCACCAAGATCGAATTATTGTTCAGGATGTTCAACTACACCTTTGGAGGAGATACATTCAGAGAGGGACTCAGGGAATTCATTAAAGAGCGGTAAGGGAATTGAAATCTTTGCCATAGGTATTTATTTGATTAAACGGGAAACAATTATTCTTTGTAATTGTCGTTTATGATATTTAATACAAAAATGATTATTCACTTATATATAAATTATGTAGCAAATTCAAAACATTTACCGGAGACCACGTCTGGAATGCACTAACTGCTGCAGCTATTAAAGACAACAAAATTCCTAAAGATTTAGATGTGAGAACAATAGCCAACAGTTGGATCGAGAAAGACAGATTACCACTTATCACCGTTAAGAGAAATTACAAAAGTAAATCAGCTCATGTAACTCAGGTATGTGACTAAATCTTATTATCTCTTTATTATAGTGGAGCTTTTCTGAGTATATCTATTGTTTTTGTTTATATCAGAAAGTGTATCTGCGTGAACGTCCTCATGACGTCCCCGATGCGGCTAAAATGTCATGGTGGGCTCCTTTAGTTATAGCCAGGGAAGATGCACTCGATTTTAATAAGGGTACTACTACTATTTGGATGAAGAACCAAAAAGAGTTAGAAATAAATGACTTGCCTGGAGAGGAGCACTTTATCATTGTTAATCCTGAGGAAATTGGTAAGTCACTTCGAGATAAAATGTTAGTTGCATCTTAAAGTACACATGGGTTATTTACATTTATTTACGGAAATTAATTTTATATTGTTATTTTTATATCTTTAGCACCATTCCCTGTTAATTACGACGATGAGAATTGGAGGCTTCTTGCTAACTACCTGCAAACCAACAACCGACTTCGTATTCCGGAACTAACTCGAGCCAAGCTTCTTCACGACGCGTGGAACCTAGCCTACGCTGGCGACTTGGCCTTTGCTACAGCATTCAATATGACGTTATTTCTTAGAGAAGAGCGGCATCATCTTGTCTGGGATCCTGTGTTTACAATGATCGACCACATAGGCAAACATATTTGCGAATGCATGCATGAGAAATTCCAGGTATCACAGTATAAATAAGATATTCTCTATTAATTCCAGTTAAAGCTTACCAACTAGTTTTTGAGTTTTCTAGAACATTTTTACAAAGGTTAATTGTGTTTGTTCAGGCTTACGTCAGAACATTATTAACACCCCTATACGAAGAGTTGATTAAAGATGAGCGCGAAGATGAGGAGAACTGGCGGAAGAACCTGCGAGGACATACTAAGACGTTCCTCTGCCAAGCTGGATATGCTCCCTGTATTAAGGAAGCCCAAGAACAGTTTAGCAAATGGATGCAAGCTAAAAATCCTGACGAAGGCAACCCGTGAGTACCAATAGAGTTTAACAAAGGTTATCAGAAAAATAATTTGTTAGAGTAGAGAAAGTTCTAGATAAAATGAGACGTTATTACACATAAGACAAAAGATCAAATAATGAATATTTTATTTTAATAATACTGAATGTTAATTATTTTTCTAAATGTATGATATGTAAGTTGACAAATCCCATGTGCCTGTAATTTCACCATCTTCATACCCACTTAAAAACGGACGCTCTATAAAAATATTTAGGTACCTACAGTTACGTGGTGCCATCAATCAAGGGGTACGTTTATTGTATCGGTAAGCGATATCCATCAAAGCGGCATGCCGAGGTTTGATGCAATATCTCCGCCCCTACCACAGCTCTTTAAATTTAAAACTTGAAAAAGGGTTATCAGTCAACGGAAAATATAAGATGAACATTCTTTCAAAAATATATTACACAATTCCATCAATCTAGGTACAGTCATTAAAATCTTTCTCATATGTCTCAGGGGACGGGCGCAGTGACAGCGCCCCTAAGACCTTTGCGATTTAAAGCTCTGAGTGGCACTGCAACTGTTATGTTTAATCGTGTCGCTTACCATACAAAAATCGTAGAAGAGCTGTATAAGTTATGAAGATGTGCTTTTACGAATATTTTTGTATATTTTTTTTATGATAGTATGTGCTTATTTGTGAACTCCAACTCACATGATTGAAAATGGCGATCAGGTCGATGATGGAGCATGCACATCTAAATAATGCCTATTCATTCTCGCCTTGAAAAGGCCCGAATTATAGCGTTCAGGGAATATATCTGTAAACAATGAATTAGTAGTATAGCATAGATATTAGTAGAGCAGGAAAGAAAGCGTAACGCTTTGTGCGAATCTTCGGAATATCCACAACATAGGGGTGGAACTCTAGTCTAAGTCTAGTCCTTCGATGATGGAAAAATGAAGGCGGAATTAAATCGTGCAAATCCATCGCACACTCTTCGTAATATATTATGTAAAATACCGATAAGAAGGAAATTTTCGGCGCAGTTCAAGACATTTCCGACGACCTCGGGTAGCAATGCGGGGATAATAGTTGAGTTGGTCTCGAGTTCGGTTTCCAGTAGAATCAATTTAGGGAATGAATTTATTTAAATTAGTTCTAATCTGGGCGTTTACGCTAGTGCCTCGATGTTTACACACATAGTGTGTCCATATCGACATCGTGTTTTGTAAACACCAAAAACTCTAGAATTGAAAAGGTGTTATTTCTTTTGGGGTCACACACTTTTTATAACATCTTTGTTCTTGATTTATAATACAAAGGACCTTATATGGACCACGGATTGGGATAAACAGGACATTTTTTTTACACCGTTAAGTAGTTGGAGACCATATTTCTCGTATCTGTATACATATTAACCTAATTTGTGTGACGACCTCCTGTCTCCTTTAGCCCGCGTCCCCTTTAGTCCTGGGCCATGAATGAGTTCCCTTTGCGGTGTATTCAGCCGTATGTTGTGCGCATGAGTGTGAAATTTGATTTACTTTTTGCGAGCCCTTTCAACCTGTTTCATAGGTTGTGTTTTTGTGGATGTAATGGACATGAATAGATATTACTAACATCCTGTAATTTATTAAGTTAAGTAAAGTTTACATTAAACTTCGGTGGCCATTGTGATCAAGCTTTAAAAATTTTACTATTTCTATGGCATTGTAGGTTTTAGAAAGTCTGTTCTGCAGTTATCTGTGCAGCAACAGCTCATTGGCATATACATACATATATCGAGTACCTAGATTTTTGCGATTGCTCTACATTGAATATGAAACAATTTTTTTCGGATCTAAAATAGCATGTATTTGTTTTTGTAAACAAACCAACGTTTCGAGACATGGAACCTGTAAAGAGTCCGAAAAGCGAAGAATCCGTTGGTATATTTAGATCCGAAATATAAACGGTTTCATTTCCAATAAATTAATAATTAAGTGAAATGTATTTTTAATCGACTTCAAAAAAGGAGAAGGTTCTCAATTCCCGCGACACAGGGTTTCCCTAGTGCGGGGTTATGTTAAATATGTGGGTTATTTATTTATTTATTCGTGTATATTTTTTGTGTGTACGATTACTCCGTCTGTTGTGAACCGATTTCGATGATTCGTTTTTTGTTGAAAGGAAGTATAATAGTCCCATTCAAATTTGAAGAAAATGTTCCATCTCTAAGAGTGGCAAATTAGGAGATGAATCCGATTTATTGAAATTACCCACTTTCCATTACCGATTTCAATAAAAAACTTGGCACAGAGATTTAAATAATAAAACAGCGAAAAAGAATAATCAAACTGTTTTTTTAATAAAAATGTTATAATTATATTGACGCATAATGCGATACAACGTTTGTATATTCTCAGTATTGCGAACCAGTACATATGTCCGGTATTCAAGTACGGCTCGAAGAAAGAGTGGGAGTTCGGACTGCAGCGCGTGATTAACTTCCCACCATCGCGCAAGCAAAGCGAGCGAACTTATTTGCTCAAGACATTAGCTGGGTGCCCGGTTGATGTGTACAAGATCAACAGGTGAGAAAATTTTATATAGGTATAGACAAAATTTCAAATAAAACATACATACAAACCTTTTCATTTTATATAGTATAGTACATTATTGCAGAGGATACCTCTTATTGCAGAGGATTGACTCCTATTAATACGACACGCAATCCCCGTTTCCCGGCGAGGCATGTATAGAATTTTTCTCAAACATTGTGAGGAAATAATAAAAGACTAAAGAGAGAAAGATGTATAATAGAAAAAGTAGGTAGTAGGGTTAGCACGATAAGGCGCGACATGAGCTAGAGCGACATAAAGCGCGAGATAGTGCCTTTAGAAGCCACGCGCTCTATGTCGCTGTCGCACAAGTCGCGCCCTATTGTGGTAGCCCTACAGGAATGTTAAATCGAAAAACTTTTTAATTACATTAGTACTTAATAATTACATATATCAAGAGACAATATATAGGGTTATTTATACAATACTAACAACCTCGCAGGGCTTTATTAGGTACTAACATCATAAACAATTACTTTCGTTCCATGACTTTTTACAAAATATATTAAATCTTTCTAAAATAAAAGTTTTAAGTTTTTAGGGTACTGTCGTAGCAAGGTAGCTAGTAAATTCAAAAGTACAACAGTCCGTCCTTCCTGACGACCCCCACCCCCGCTCCTGTATTTGCATCGGACTGGTATTTACACTAGCGCTTCCTTTTGTCACCGCACAGAGTTGTCACCGTTTAGCGCGATCTATTTCAATATTTTTATTTTTGTATGAAAGTAAAATCTAAAAAGCCATGGAACAAAAGTTGTTATTTACGATGTAAAGTAAATAAGCCAGTAAAGCATACGAGTAGAAATGTCACACTGTTACATTCAGCATTGCAATAACGTATTTACTTTAATCTTAACATATTAAATTCATAAGCAAATGCTAGTATATGTATATTTGTAAAACTGTATGTATTCGTTGTGTAACTGTGCGTATTCGTACATATCAATTTCATGTTACAGAAGTTACGAATCAAGTAATTTGTTTAAATGACTGTTATGCTATTCTTCAATTCTATGCAATGTCTAGGCTATTGAATCTTTCGGTGCTGGAAGGCAACGGCAATTTCACGGAGACGGACCTGTTCCTCATCTTCAGCATGGTGTCGGGCAGCCCCCATGGCCACACTACTCTTTTCCACTTCCTTAATAACAATTGGAATGATCTTAAGGAGAAGTGAGTATCTGCTAATGGATCTAATTATTTTATCAAATAAAATGTTAAATGTTATAAAAATCATCGAAGGAATTAATTATCAATATTTACTTACAGTTTTCATTCTATTAAGAGTCTATACTACCTTAATTGGCATTGGTTGATTTCGCATAACAGTGAAAGTGTTGAATCAATCGCTTTGGAAAAATATATAGTAAAAATGGGGATATACACTGATTGCTATATGGTGTGAATACACGTATCCTAAAAATTTTTATGATAGAAAAGAACACAAATTTACCTCGAAATTTTACTTATTTTGCTTCGAAAAGCTCTGTATTCAATAGGTATTTTACATACACCACTTTTTTTTAAAATATTAAGTGAACCAAATAGAACACGTATACTTGACGCTATACTTTTTAATATGGCTTTAATTTCGTTTGTAAAAAAGAAGTTCTGAAATAACGGCAGTGTCCCTGCTGCTCGACCCAAGCAAAATGAACCGCATTAGTACGGGGAAAATTTGAATTACGAGTTGAGGTAGTACCGAGTCTTAAACTGTCGACAACAACTTCATAACTATTTAATTTTTTCTGAAAACTGGCAACCCTGCGAATTTCATTTTATATCGCCTTCAATAAAGACAGACCATAGATACATACCTAGTGGTAGAGACATGAAAGTAATAATATAAGTGGGTACTTATGGTAGAGAATTACCTACCAAGTGTCTGAAATAAATAATTATTATTATGGGCGAAACTCGGACATTGCACAAAGTTAGAAACACTGTAATAAATCTAATGTTATTATGTAATTAATCTGTAATAATCTAATGACTTATTTATTTGTTATTGTATAAGAACTCAATAGCATTATAACTTTGTTTTATAATGGTATTTGACAAGTTTGATGAGTCTTTTATAAATAGCGGCGATTTGTACAGGTAATTCTATCAAGGTTCTCTCAACTCAAGTTAAAACAGTTTCTTCGTATTTCAATCACGTTTTTGGCAAGAGACACGTGATGAGAAATTATGATGCAGATTTTGAAATGTGCGGTGATGACAACATGTAAACAATATTATTAAGGTTATTGGATTGGAGATATCCAATAATCAATAATAAAAAAATATTATCCAAAAATGATGGATATTATTATTTTTTTAATCAATTTAAGATTTCCATAGTGGACTACCGTACTCACATAGTTGTAATATTTGAAACCAAATGTTAATAAACCCATATGTAATCACGAGTAATATTCGCCATGAATATTGGTGAACAAATGAATATTTACTCTGTACTGAGAATTCGCATTAATATTTCGATGATTTTATGAAAGGTGAATATTATAGAAATAGACATCATTTATTCTTATAATAATCAACACAGTACACACGCATTTTATAATAATAATATTACTGGTAATGATGATACTTATAATAACAAGGATTTGGAACTAAATACATATAGGTATATAGAGTATAATGTGTGTGTGCTGTGCTGCCAAGGAAACCGTGACCCACTCAGCTGATTTTCAGCGGATCAGGCAACAGAACACATGTGACACTGAACATAATAACCGTCACAGATTGACACTAAAAACATTGAATGAAACAAGCACATAGTAATATGTGCTCAAAACATGTCTAAAAAACATTATAGATAAACTGATTTGAAAGCGTGTCGCTTACCACCGGGCGCACTTGTTCGTCACTTGGTATAAAAAAAAAAGAAAAAGTCGTATATCTGCATTGGATCGCTCTGTGTTGACCTTTAGGCCCGGCCTAAAGGTTTTCACCTCTCGCCTCAAAAGAGATCCGTGCATTTATACCTATATGGATTGACGACTAAAAAATCAAATTTGGATGGTGAATAATTTAATAAAATTCAGAGACTTTAGAGATTGTTGAACATTAAGCAAGTACGTTTTGAGTAATCTTTTAAAAGTAAAATTGACGAAATATTGATTAGATGAATAGAAATTACTCTTTGCTCTTGTCTTTACTGAACAAAAAATAATTTTCGTTTGCTTGTACCTATATGTTCTCTGGACTGCTATTACTTTGAAATTTAGGTAAATTTTACTACGGAAAGAAAAAAGTCAACACAACTAGACTGTATTAATTAAAAAAAAAATAACCGTGTAAAGACTGCCACTGGTTTTTTCAATAGGTATTATTTATCGCAAGGTTGTTGGTTCGAAGGAATTTTTCTTTGTGTTCGATCTTTGTATTAATGAATTATAACAAACTAGTGAAGTAATTTCCTAAAAATAATTGAATATCATTCTAGTAATTTGTGATATTCAATAAATTTAAAATTACATTAATAGTTCTAAATAAATTATTATATTTTCACAGGTTCCAAAGCAAGACAAATCTATGGGACAACCTAATCACTTCAGCTACATCTCAGTTCACTACACAGGCTGGTCTAGAGTTGGTCTCCAACTTGTACGTAGCCCATCAGGGTGAATTCGGTTCCGCCGAGCATATTATCGAGAAATCCATGAGGAACATCAGAGAAGAGGCAAAATGGTCAGACGCAAATCTGCCTGTTATAGACAAATGGCTGGATTGGTATCTGTCTGTCTATAATGTTAACGATAAGGTTGCTAAAAACTGATTTGTAAAAGCTGACAAGTAAAGTGAAAAAAAAAAAATACACACGCCGTAGTTACCGTACCTGTACCTGGCATGCCAACTACCTGACATTCCATTCACGTTGTAGTTTCTTTATATCTACCAGCTATAGGTATGTCTAGGTGCCAGTTGCCTTCATCCGTATTTTGGTCGTTATTTTTGTATCCAATAGCACAAACATTGAAGTTAAATGTTAATGCTTATACTATCATTTCTAGCTCAAAAGGTAACTTTATTGAAGCCATCACTCACACCACTCGGCGAGGTGTTTTAATATTTCGGATTTGGAATTTGCTTCGTTTGGATTTTGGGTCTCATGTCGCGGAATTATAAACTATAACTCAATTTCTTTTACCGGCTAAATAAACAACGCTATTTCGGAATCCATAACGACCTGTAATTCGTTATGCTTTAGAGATATACAAGTAATAAAATATATAAATAAATTATAATCAAGTAAATTTCTTTCCGGACTCTGTAACTTTTTCGAGTGTGTCTTTTTCTATAATTCTTACATACCTAAATAACCGGAGAAGTACAGTGGCAATTGAGTATCAGCACGGCATTCGACGTAGTAATACGTAGGAGCAACAAGGGAAATCGACAGATACTGGCATTTTTTTATCTGTTGCAATGACGGGATGCTCTCGACGTAATATGAAACTATTCATTCATCCCTCTGTGAAAATCTCTCTCTATATCAGTCTCGCACAAAGCCAACTATATCATAGAATTCTTTTTACGCCACCATCCACCGGGAGTAGGTGGATCGAAAGTATTCAACTCCATGTATTGCTTATGCAATTCATGTGCCCTGGTTTTTACACCGGGTAATTTAAAATCTTTCAAATATTTTATCATTTGACTGTCTAAGTTGCTAGGCTAATAATACTTTGTCGGTCGACAGATTTATCTCAGAAATTTTACGACCAGTCCATTGTTTGCACCTTATCTTTAAACATACTTGAATCAATGTTATATAATAAATAAATAAGCAACGTTACGAATTATGATATATTGTAGTTTTAATTTTATATAATGATAAACAGGAAAATGAATCATTTAATAAAAAGATAGATTGCTTCTCGGTTCAAAACAATAACAATTTTTATTGTTAAAAACGTATTGTAAATAATTACCACTATTGTTAAATAAAAACGATATTTAAAACACCACGGTGTTTTAATAAAATATTTATCATAATAGACTACTTATATATACAAATTTTTACTGGTATTTAAAGTTACTTAATGAAGCTGCGTTTTTAAATTTACATTTTTGTTGTGTTAATAGAAATAACTGAAAACATAAATATCACAAATGTTTACCACTAAAAACACGTGCATTTTACTGGATTCATTGTGAAAATGAAAAATTGAATATGTTTATAAGTAGTGGAAATTTCTTTATTTCCCTCTGCCAATAATACATTTCCTGAGGGAAACAGGCTCAACTAAAAGGTAGTTGACAAGTAACGCAATATTTATAATATTTTGGTATAGTACTCAGAAAATTTATTCTTACTATATAGTACAATACAAACTATATTGTACACAGTTACATTATATTTTAACGGCCAGCAACACAAACAAGGAAAGTATTAAATAAATGGCGTTGATGTCGGTACGTGGAATCCATATACAAAAGTAATATAATTCATAACAAATAAATTATTAATTGTTATTCGCCGGATATATTAATGCTTTTCTATGGCCTATGGTAATAACAATAATAATGTGCCAGATGCCCACACCTTTGCCTTACCTCAATTAGGGGATTTCCTGTACTATGAGTACCAGAACGACGGAATTCACTCCGGGGCACTAACCAGATTATTCAGACCAGAACCAATTTAGAAAAGTTCTTTCCCAAATTGGTCCTACCGGGAATCGAACCCGAGACCTCCGCATCCACCACCAGTATTCAGAGAATAAGGATATCTAATTTCTAAGACACCTTCAAAATTTATCTTTAAAACTGTCTTAGTCAATTTAGCCTTACCTGTGCATTGTACCTAATAGGTACTATTGGTAGAACAATAAAACAAAGTATATCACAAAACATTCTTCATATATAAACAATTTCTTTACTTGAATAGAATTGTCTCGTGGTCGCCTAGTTTCAGGATTTATATATTACCATCTTGTCGACCTTGTTTACTATTCATGTATTACATTTTAGAGAATTTATATTCATATCGCGGTCGTTATCACAGCGTACAGCCGGCACAAATTTATTTGGGATCTCGCACGGATGAACTTTCTGAAATTGCTGGGAAGCACGGAACCACGCGACCATTCGCCCAGCCATTGAGTTAGGGTGATGTAAGTGGCACGCCACGCACTTTTTTCTGTAATACCGAGATAGGCACGTCTTCCTTTACACTTGACATTGAAATTCCACTCTACGTCACTAAAGATAATATCACAGTATTACAATATCTTCCCTACAGTAGCGCAACGCCTTTGAAGTTCGTGCGATACCGCCACACGCTGTTTATGCAGATGTGCAAAGGTTGTCAGTTTGTCACACAAAAAAGAAATCTGATTATTATTATAATGTAATCATTTATTAACAATAACTCGGATGAACAGTTTTAAAACGAGAACAGCTGTGATTTTTATATATATTTTTAATTTACATCCATCCTTCGAAGTGTAAGCCACATACAACCTACATGTTATTTTTTAATGTTTAATGTTTTTGTCTAATAAACATGATTAATATTCACACACACATTGTATACATTAGTGGATCTTATTTTGATATGTAAATAACCAAACATCGCGATAAGATTTCAAAGGCCTACGTTGCGCGCGGGACATACCTCTTTATTTTGAAATTATAACACTCCACATACAAAGAAACACAGTAGCATAGCAGCGTTAGGGTCATATTATTTGCCAGTTCTTAAATATCCTGGAGCCGCGCAAGCGTTCGTGCGTGCACTATTACTTCTAGGCCATTTTGTGCCTGTCCTTTTCCTCTTTTTACAACAAATCATGTCGATCCACATGATTGAGTGTTCTGTTCATGAGTGTTCTGCATTCTCATTTCCCTAAGGTTGGGCAATCACCTTACCCACATCCATTGTGTAATGTCTAAAAAAGGTGAATTCGCCCTTGTTAAGGCCACATCTGCAAAATTACATTTTTTTAAATCAATTACAATTACAAAGTTCGAGTAGCGCGATATTTGAGGCGCCATATAATTGGCGTCTAGTACCTCACTCTTTTTGGACGTGATATAGTTGTACATTAAAGACAAAGTATTGTGGATTTCGTATATTGTTTATGGACTGCAAACAAGTTTAATAATATCATCATTTAAATACTTGTGTAGTTACATGCGGGTTGGTCGAATGGTCAAATCACGAGTTACCCAACAACGCACCTCTATTTATGTAAATACTTTCCCGTATCCCTATCCCAGATTATTACATCGACTGAACTTAATAAATATAGGCCGGGACCTCGGCCATATTTCCGGAGCATAGTTCTCTATGAGTCTCATCAAGGATGATTGTGGTTTGTTTGTATTAGAATTGAATTTATGTCCATAAATGCGAAATTAATTTCATTACTATATACTGTATTACGAAAAGGTCCGGACCATATTTCAGCTGGTGATAACGTTCAGGATAAATTAGTTAAAAAAATTAACTAGCAGAAGATTTTCGAATTAATCATTTTTATTTTAAACTCTCGCTGAAATATTGTCGCATACCTTGTGTGTAATTTATCGCCCGAGTACATGTGTATTGTATTTTGTCACTCATATAATATATAGTCCAGATTACCCTGTAGTGCAAGCACAATACTCACTCCCTAAGAAAACTTCAAAATAAATCTATCTAGAGAAATATGTATACCTATATTCTGACGTTTAATTAGCAAACTATTTATTAACTCAATATGGCACAATCATAAATATATATAAGTCACAGTTACAATAGAACACTATGCGACGGCAATCTCCTTACAGTTGTACACAAGTTAACGTAAAAAAATACAATTGACTCAACAATATTATAATAATAAATTATGAAACATTTACAAAATCAATTTAAAATTATAATTATTTCAAAAATAAAAGAAATTACACACGCTGAAGACAACTCAACAAATTGTTAAAATTTTATAATGATGTGTGAAAGTCTTAAAAAACATAATTATACTGCCCTCGTAACGAAAAAAGGCACAACTATGCGTACTTTATACAGCAGATGTGCCTTTTTCGTTCTGAGGGCAGTATACTAGATGCGCATCCTGTAATAAATACATATTGTTTGTTTCATTTGATAACAAAATACGTTATTGTTTGATGGTGGTATAGAAAACACTCGAGAAGAACGCATTGATCGAGTAGGAACACATAGAAGCGAAATGAATGAATATAATAGAGTAGCCTATTAGGCAGACACATAGCAAGAACCCCATTATCAATCCTGTAAAAATACAAAGATGTATATGATTTTCCTATGAGCTTGATTCTTTAAGCCAAATTTCTGGAAATGGTCACTAAAATTTGGAAGTATAACGCACATATAATCTGTCATAGAAGTGCTCAAGAAATCTACTTTATGTCGACTGTACTCTCTTATTCCATTCTCTACATAGGTAAGTTATTAACATATAAAAAAACGAAAATTAACTTACTTTAGAAACTTGAAGAAATCCCATGGTAAATGGAAATCCTGATGACCTCACACTGTTGCCAATCGACTCCCTGGACCGTATCCCTCAAATATTATTTAAGAAGGTCGAGGTTACGGCCCGCCACACCATAATAGCGAAGTTTCCTGACCAAAATATCGTGGTGTACACAATGAAATGCTTTGGAAAGGTCACAGAGTACACGTATATGTCATGCGAGTCTTCCCATGTAACGAATATACCTATGTTTTATCAACTTAATGCCAGCAGCGGTCATTAGCCACTCCGTACAAAACCAAACTGTTTATTAGACATGAATTTTACCTTGTCACTGTAAAAATATGGTGACATCTAAATACGAAAATCTTTTTCATTTATTACTAAAGTAGTATTAAAAGAGGATTGAAATTAGTGCGGTTTGATTGAATGTCAGAAATTTAAAAGAGAAATGGCTTCGCCTTGCTATTATCTAAAACACATGCTAAATAAGGAGCAGCACATTCGGCTATAGAAATAAGTATTTTGATGGAATGATCACAAAGATCAGAAATATTTTTATTTCTTTTGATTTTAAGGTTTTAGGAATATGAAAAGACATGACTAACTTCAATATACTCTCTAAGGATTCATCGATTCTAAGAGATGAATTTTACAGTTAAAAAGCGTGT